AAAACTATCAAAATCCGATCTCAAAACGCATCAACGTCCAACAGAGACCGCTAATCGGCTACTGTATATATGCCTCATTGCCCGCCGTCGACATGGGTCCTTGGTTAGTGAATCATCTAAGACTCTTCAGGTCTTCTCTCTGAGTCTCATTCTTGAAGTCTCTTAATACTTTTACAAATAAAAGTTTGTCTTGTGTTTTGAATAAGTTTGCATTTTAAAATTTATCCTTTTGAATATTACAAACATTATATCGTGGACTTTGAATATGCTTTTTTTCATAAGACGAATTTTATTCAATTTATCTGATTTTAAAAGTGATTTGTACATAGTAAATATTTTTCGTCTGGGGCCTCCAAAATGCTCAAGCCGCCTCGGGGAATAAGTCCTATTTTAAAATAAGTCTTACGTAAGTACAGTATATAGTTGACCGATTAAATTGCAATTTCCATTAATTCGATTAAAACATTAAGTTGAAAGTACACGGCTCCTAATTTCTTACAAGTACACTACTATTCCTATTGTTTATACCTGCGTGCGCTTTTTTGAATTGCAAGTGAAAACAAATACTCTCCGTCCCGGAATTATCTTCATTCTTTCCTTTTCGATCCGTCCTAAATTTATCTCCTTTTTCCTTTTTTGGTAAAGAATATGTGGTTCACAATCATTCTTACATATTTCTCTCTACTCTGCATAACTCTCTACCACACAAATTCCACTATGTTAAAACCCGTGCCCGATCAAAACCGGAGTTAAATATGGGACGGAGGGAGTAAAAGCTATTAAGCGAGTTAGATTGAGAATTGAAGAAAAGGTGTGTACGCGTTTTTGTAAAGTCAAGCTAATCTATTCTAAATAAACAACATAGCTAATAGCTTGAGCGTCTATCGATCGTCAAGCTGGAAGTCTGGAACTCCGGAGAGCACTTTTTTGTTTTGGTCCATTTTTTTATAATAAAATATGAAGTATATCAGCTTTTTCATTCTTTATGATCTTTTGTACCAAACTACCAATATTGCATATAAAAGAATTGAAAAATATATTTTTTTTCAATTTGAAATGTGCAAAAATTATAGCAAAACTGCTCTCTGAAGTCCATGTATATAGCTACTGAAACATTATTTCTAAATATAATTCATTAAGAAGAAGAATTATATACTACTCGACTCCGTTCCAAAAAGTTTTGTCATAATGTTTTTTTTTATCAATGATGACAAAATTTGAATAATGATTTTAATTGTGTGTAATTAAAAAAAGTTTTAATTATATTTGTGTGTAATTCATAAATTTTATAATTTCATAAAAATATTTTTAATAAAGAGTATTTCAATATAATGTTCATATTTAAAAATAGTTTCCTATAAGGTATAAAAAATATGATTGATCTAACTTGAGTATCGATAAAAAAAGTCAATTTGATAAATCTTTTTGGGATGTGAATCCAAGGGAGTGTGTATTGGTGATGATGAAATATGCACGTAATATAATTAAACCCGTTGCAAAAAATGGAGTACTCCAATGGGGAGGAAGGGTAAGTGAAGTACTTGATCTTACTTGAATCATCCTTTGGAGACGAAAAGCTGCTCTAATGTTAAATCCGGATTTACCTATCAATAAAAAATGTTTTGACTTTGAAGGAAGTGTGCCCAACATGGTCATGATTAAAGAATAAGGGGTTATTTACTTTTTTTTTGCCTATTAAATCCCGTTTGGATTACTAAATTTGTCTATGTTAAAATGTGTGTTTGGATGAAATAATATTTGTCTATTATTCTCTTACTTTCAGATTGTCCACATTTAGTCCGTGACCATTATCCCCTCACCACCCCTCGTCCTTCCGGCCAAAATTCCGGCAAATTTAATGCAGATTTTAGGTATGAAAAACCAAATTTAATGCAAAGACTGAAATGAAAAACCCAACCTTATATAAAATTTAATGCAAAGACTAATTCTGAGGCTGATAAGTGGACTAAATTTACCGGAATTTTGGCCCGAAGGACGAGGGGTGGTGAGGAGATAATGGTCACGGACTAAATGTGGACAATCTGAAAGTAAGAGATTAAATGTGGAAGTGGTATAATAGTCATGGGACCAAAAGTGGATTTTTTTCTTTATTTTATGTGCTGAATAAATCATTTGAATTGAGTAAAACAATCAATTTAGTACTACATATTATTCTTAGATTATAATGTCAATGAGAAATTTCATTTATTAACATACATCTATTTCAAAAATGATTTAAAAAAATTGACAGAAAAGACGTCTTAATAGAAATCTTAATGTCAAGAATTACTAAATTCCAGCTTAATAATTAATTCAGTTTTTTGATTGATTAATTAAGTCATAAATAAACATAACTTGATGATATAATGACTTAAAGTCATTTAACTCGTCAAATCTACCAAGTCAAAAGTAAACCATGATAAGTTAAAGAGTTAATTATTGGTTTAGGAGTAAAACAGGGTCCGTGATCACAAATAGGACCAAAATACAAACGTATTTTTCATAGGATATATAATCATCTGCTTGGACATAAATGCACCCATTCAATTATTATTTGAATTTATTAATAAAAATGTAAAATAAAAATCTAATGAAACCTAAACTCTCAACATGAGTAGTTCCGCGACCTTCGGTGCTGCCGCTGCCTGCCCCTTACCTCATTGGCGCCGCATGCCGCTGTCTCACCGGTGTCAATTGCCGATGTCTCGACGGTGCCGCCTGCCACTGTCTCGCCGCCGCCGTTGCCGTCGCCGCCATGTCACTGTGGCCGCCGCTGCCGCCCACACCGGTGTCACCCCAACCGCCGTTGTCATCCTCCACCGCCGCCGCCACCCATTCTGGTCATCGTCGCTGCCTGTTAGCAAAACAATCATGAGAGTTAGATTTGGAATCCACCACTCCAACTCCAAACACCACCATCACCTCCACAACACCAATGCCATAAATCTGCCATTAAGTTGGCAGATTTGGTCTTCAAGCTCAATTTAAATCTTCTATTTCTATGGACTCTTAAATCTGCCAATAAAACTGGCAGATTTATCTTGGAAGAATAACACAAAATTGCCATAAATTTGGAAAACATATGAACTCAACAACCAAATATTCAAAAAGTAATTTTTTCAAAGGAATAAACACTTTATTACAATCGAAAATCACAAGTACGCAACTAATGAGCAAAAAATTAAAAACCGATTTACACAAAATCTATTCTGCCATAATCGATTGGCAGTGCGCACATTTCTGCCATAAATTTGATAAAATCTTATGCCATCATCCAATATTTCAGCAAATAAGGTTTTATTTTGGGAAAGTAAAAATCTGAATCGGAAATGCAAAATAGTGGTCAAAAAATCGGCCAATTATATTGAATGCCAAAACTCATAAAAACAGAAGAATATGAGTAAAATCTGAAAAATCAATGTTAAAAATCAAAATCAAAAGAAGAAGGAGAAGGAGAAGGGGAAGAAGTGAAAACCCTGAGATTCGGAGGAAAATAAAGACGATGATGGTGGAAGGCGGAGGCGGTGAAAACAGAGACGAGAGCGATGAAGGTGGTCTGCGGCGAAGGTGGTATGCAAAGAAATCGACAAATCCACACAAGGGAGAAGGTGAGATGCGGCTCCGGTGAGCCTTTGGTCACGTCTGGAGAAAGCAACGATAAATTTGTTTGGAGAGAGAAGTTGCTAGAAATGGGTAAATAAGTGCAGGGGTAAAAATGAGATGTTAATTTTAGTATGTTTAATTTCAAAATATGAGTAGATTGGTCATATTTGGAAATAAAAACATGAGAGGTTCTATTTTTGAATTTCAGCCCATTTTTAATCCTATTTGGATTAATTTCTATAAGTTAAAGTGTATTTGTGTGTGCGCTTTTCTATAAGAGAAAATTGCTCGTTGTAAGACTATATTAATGCAAGATTAAAAAAATAGGACTTTGGATGGTCATGTTTTTCCATCCGTGTGATTTACTTAATTCTATTTCGGGAAACTCTATTTTTCCTTCCAATTTTACCCTAAAGCAATTCCGTTTAGATATCACGCTAGCTTCACCGAAACTGCTCTCTTCTTCACCAAACCCTTCCATATTTGGCAGCCCCGTTTTTTCTTCATCTCAGCCGCCTACAACTTTATCCACCTCCTCCGCCCGCAACTTTATCCACCCCGCCGCCCGCTACTTTCTCCACCTCCGCCACCCGCTACTTTTTCCAGCTCCGCCGCCCCAAATCTCCCTCCAGCTCCTCCGGCTCTGTTCGTCGCTTCCACCTCTAACGCCGCCTTCATGCAGCGATTCCTGTGAAGACAGAGGTGTGACGATTCCGGTGAATATGGAGGTGCGGCGAAGAAGAGAGATGCGGTGTCCGGTGAAGAAGAGAGTTGTGGCGTCCGACGAAGAAGTGAGAGGTCGGCGAGGAAGCGAAACGGCAGATCTGAAGTTGCAAAGGAAGAAGATGAGAGGCGTGAGCTGATACGCAATCCAGATTCCAGAATTAGGGCAGCGGCACACCAGTCCCTTCTTATTCTCCCCTCCTCCTTGTGGGTCGGAGCATTAGACGGATTGCTTTCCAGAATTTATTGTTTATTTATTATCTACTTATTGTCTATTTATTGTCTATTTAATGTCTGTTATTTTCTAAAAGTAAGAAAATTGTGGTCAATGCAGATGTAGTTGAGTCTTACGCTAATCTTGGATCTTAGTTTTGGAAAATCAATAGGTTTTGCTCCTATTGGTTGAAATCTCCCTTTCTATAGTGTGTAAGATATTGCAATATAAAGGAAAAATACAGTTCTTATGCGTAGTATATTTAAAAAACAAAAAAAAAACGTGTTCTATACGGAGTATGGAGAATATATTGAAAAAATGTGCGCGTTTTGGTAAAGTGAAGCTCTTCTATATATATATATATATATATATATATATATATATATATATATATATATATATATATATATATATATATATATATATATATATATATATAGCTAGCTGCTGAATTCATGAAGCATTATATTCTTTCTACTCTGTATATTTTTCATTAATTAAGAATAATATATTGGTGATCAAGAAATTAATTAATACGGCCGGAATTTAGATTCATCGGCAAAAATGGAGTCCCAAAACGTCATCGTAATGAGGCATGGACACCGTCTTGACACCGCCGACGAGAGCTGGACTAGCGGCAACATGGACAACCGTCCATGGGATCCGCCGATATGCGACGGAGAGGAAAATAAAAACTTGTTTTCTCAGGCGGCCGAGAAAATTAGGAATGATGTCGGAGCCCCGATCGACCGTGTCATTGTCTCCCCCTTCCTCCGCTGTCTACAGACAGCTTCGGAGACCATCAGAGCCCTCTTGGAATTGTACGATGATCCCGACATCGAGATTAAGGTTTCTTACCTTCTCCATAAAAATTTCAAATAATTTGTCTAGTCGGAAATACTTTCTTAACTCGTTGTATCTTTAAGAAAAAGTTTTCGCTAGTCGGAAATACTTTCGTGAAGACAGGGTTCATGCGTGTAGGTGTTTTGCAAGTTCATCCGGCCACATTTCATCAACGGTGTTTCGCTACTTTTTAGCACACTGGTTAACTAGTTATACACTTTAATTTTAGCTGCACACCGTAAAATTGTGATGAAAATTAAACCTTATATATGAACCATTAATTACCTTTAATTAATTTCCTTCTTTAGTTATTAATTACTATATCACACATTGTATGCGTCTCAGGTTTGTATTGAGTTTGGATTAGCAGAAGTTATGAACGTCAGAGTCATAAAAACGCCTCCTAGCGATGGAGATTTCGGATTTAATATCTCAGAGTATGAAGTTCACTTTCCATCACAAACCACATACGAAACAGTTTATCAACAGGTGTTTAATTTAATTTGTTTACTGAAAAATACAGATGTTTAAATAATTTCTTTTTGGTGTGCACGGATGGGCGGAGCGGGGGTCAGGGTCGTCAGCCGACCCTGCTGAAAGTTTGAGAGTATAGAACTATGAAATATCTTCGATTTGATATATTATGGTTCTCATAACTCATTACGAGTAAAAAGTTATGATTTTTGGAAAATCAGCATTATCTCAACGTACGTGAGATTAGTAAAATTTGATGCATACTATAGATTATTTTCCCAAATTTTAAAAATAGGGTAGAATTCACTCAATATTTACGTGATACGACACAAAAACAGAGCAAATAGAATCTATCTTATTGTTACGATGAGTATTTATTTATTTAAACTGCATATGAGATATGAAATATTCAATTCGGACATTATTTAAAAACGATTCACCATTTTGATCATGTAAACGATTCATGCATTTACTATTTCATACTACGTGCTAGGTACTCCGTATTAATTATTATTATTTCATTCTTTAAAAGAAATAATAAAAATAAATTATATTATTATAATAACTACTTCGTATATAGCTGCCAGAGTGGGGAGAAGCGAGAGAAGCTGCATATGATAGGTATAAGAAGGTTGTTCGCGCCCTTGCTGATGAATATCCTAATGAAAACCTGCTTATTGTCACACATGGTAATTTTATTATTCCTTTATTGTCAATTAGTTATAAAGGTCTCAATTCCTAATTGTTAATAACTTAACGTACAACTTTGACTATTAATATATTTGATCAACTTTTTCCAAACATCACATTTTGGAATTTTAGATGGAGTTATGTATAAAAATAGTTTTCATAGTACGTATATTTTGTTAATACATACATCAATAATTAAAATAAAATGTGTGCAAATTATATAAATAGTTGTAAAAGTTAGATAGTTGCAACTAATAAGGATATCATATCCACATAATATATAAATTGTTAATTATTTGTAATTAATTTTAAAAATAATTTAGTTTTTCAAAAAATGTAACAAATTATTAAAATTATAAAAACACAAAAATATATATAGTTCAAGAACTTTCCAATAATAGACACAATCCATTTTATAACCTTTACTTTTGATTTATAAATTTTGTAAGTCAACTGCTACCTTATATATATATATATGTCTATGTGTAACTTTTTATATATACTGTGAATTGTGTAATACTCAAAATAAATACGATTTGATGTTAGTTTTCTAGGTTAATTAGCTGGATTTATGAAAGAGGATATTTCATTTTATAAATAAAATGTATTTCAAATATAATACTTTTATAGTTCAATCGATTTAACCAATTCAGATATGCCAGAGTTTTACCAAATTGAGTTGATTTAACATTGAAACTTGTCTTCTATGTATAGCACTATAGCCACGTGAAATAAACATAGTGTCAGCAATCCATTGTTTGCTCAAAATGCATCCTCGTTTTTAACACGAAAGATTTGTTAGAACATTAAATTTTGAAGTTTGGATATTCTTGGACATCCTAAGAACTCTCTTAAAATGAGAACCCCTGAGAACCCCAAGAAATTGGAAGTATTTTTGGCGTAAATTCTTTGTGTATGTTCCTCATCAAGTCTACCTGATCCATACTAAATTTGAGCAAAAAATTCATGAGGAACATACACAGGAACATACACAAAAAATCATTTGTATATCCTTTAAATCATATGATATCCTTTGTGTATTTTAGTTTTCTTTCAAAAATCATTCGACGACCTTCCCGATTGAATTTTTTGCTCAAATTTGGTATGGATGATCTAGATTTGATGAGGAACATACACAAAAAATTTCAGCCAAAAATACCACCGGTTCTCAGGGGTTCTCATGGGTTCTCATTTTAAGATCAGTTCTCACTAGAACCCTCTCATGTTTCAAACAGTAAATATACTTGCATATATTTATTTCCTAAATTCGACGTCATATAAGACAACCATTTTGGGATGTGAATAGTACACAGATACTCTGGATTACTTATCCGTAACAACATAGAGAGTCCGTTTGATAACACTGGAATCGGCCGATTCTGTTGAAATTTATGAAGTTCTAGTTGAAGTAACTGTATTGACTGATTATGCTGATTTATGAAAAAATTACATTTAAAATATACGGAGTATTTTATTAATAAAATAAAGAAAAAGTTATATAAAAAATACCTAAAATGGCTATCTACATTAATTTCAGCCAATACAGGCACAAAAGTAACTTCAACCCTACTTTTTCTTGTTATTACACAATTCAACGCGTGAAATAAAAAATTATGTGTTTGGTTAAAAAGTTGGCTGATAAGCCTGATAAGTCGGAAAAAACAGAATCACCAAACAGGCTCATAATCTATATATAGGAAAATGGTTGTTTAACTAATTAGTGCATTATTAATTAAGATCACTTTTTCTTACAGTTTAAGTACTTATTATACGTTGAAAAAGGATCAAATGCAAATTCCTCCTAATTTATAAATTATGAACTCATCCTGGCCATCCGTTGCATTGATCTAAGGATGTTTTTACTTGGACTGTTTTCACTCCGAGACTAGACCAGACCAGACTTGAACAATTACAAAATACAAAGAGCTAGACCAGACGTTTACCAGACCAGACCTGACTAGTTCAGACCAGAAAAGATCAGACCTTATAAATAATAAAACCAAACTTACGATGGCATTTCAATAATAAAACCAAACTTTTTCGGATGCAACACTTTGAACACTAATATATTCAACCGTTCATTTTATCGCTGAATAATATGCAACACTTTTAACATAATATGTTATTATAACATAAAATACATCGTACAAAGTTTTACACAATAAGCACACTTTATACCGGATCTGCCCTCCCTCAGCAATAATGTGATACTCCCTCCGTTCCAAAAAATACTCCTCACTTTCCTTTTTGGGCTGTTCCCAAAAATACTTCTCACTTTCCCATTTTGGACAATTTGTGTGGCTCACATTCATTTTACCTTTTTCTTACACAACTACAACCATACATTTCCACTTTATTCCACTTTCTTAATAAGCGTGCCAAGTCAAACCGGGAAGAATTTTTAGGAACAGAGGGAGTATTTTTTATGCTTGATCATATATATATATGGCAGCTCTAGGAGTGGAAAGTTTGACATGTCAACACATGGACATACCAGCGGGGAAAGTTGCATGGGTGGAAGTTGGTGGATATGCACACTTAATGAGGCCACGTGGTAAAAAAAACAACTTCGAACTCTCAAATTTATTTCGTGTTGATGTCCGCCACAAGCCGCAGGCCGCACAAAGGCAGGTACAAAGTGTGTCCCATTTTGAGGCACAAAATGAGACAAGCAGCAGGGGTTGCTGCTTCCTAGTGTGTGTTTCATTATTGTCTAAGTTTGGCCTTATCTTGTGTATTGTGGCTTGGGTTGCTTTGGCCGGTTCAATTTTGTACTGGTTCGGTGTATTTGATAAATATCTGGTCTGGGCTCGGGCTCGTCATTTCGGATCTAATCTCATCTCGTAATCTCATTTGGTACACCACTCAAATAAGAAGTCTAAGTGAATAAGTTTGCTTGGTTGGTCTCTTGTCACTCTCGTTATTATTATTAATGAATAAGTGTGGTTCTTTCAGAAACAAAAAGTTTTAGGTGTGACTTCGATTGACCCGGCTTAGAAAGTTCAGTTCAACGGAACATGTCTTACTTATATTTTTATGTATTCTTCACATTACTTGTGTCGTTGTATGTTTGAGTAATCAAAACGTTTATCTAATTATAAAATGATTATGTAATTCGATCTGTACACATTACTCTTTCCATCCTTAACTCTCATTATGCAATCGTCTAAAAAAGTGTCAATTTAAGGTCATGAAACAAATGATGTTACATCAATTCTTATATGTTTCCTACGCTCCATTGGTATTTTCCAACTTTAAGTCAGGTAAGAACCAAATATGCCTTCTAGACGATTGAAGTGTTATTGAGCATATTAACAACTACCTCAGAGCTCAAACAACCACAAACAAATGGGCCTTCAACAGGAGCCCACAACCCTTAAAGATGAGGCAACCCACGAAGTCGAGGGCACCAATCATTACTCTCAATCTCAGCTCTACGTTGTACTTAACCAAAAATCGATGTCACGTTCGAGAAGAGATACTAAAGATAATATCATCCTGCCCCGCGCCGACATCTTCATGCTTCGTGCTCACCAAATTAAACTCGCGTACACCAAAAAATACGACTTCGATGTATAGATCAAACAAATTAGTTTACCCATACCAAATTTCAGCTAAAAATTCAATCCAGAAGGCAGTCAAATGATTTTCTGAAATATATTGTGCTGTCTAACTGCGCAGCTATCTTAAAAAATTCATTTGACTACCTTCCCGATTGAATTTTTAGCTGAAATTTGGTATGAATAGACTAGACTTAACGAAGAAGATATTCAAAAAATTTCATCAAAAATTTCCACCAGAAACCGCCCCAAATGGCAACGGCTTTTTTAATGAACAAATGAAACTGAATCAAATCAACGTACTGAATTGAACCGAGTCACTCCTAAGCAAAAATGATTTTCTTTTGTTACAATATCTCTCGAACCGTATAAAATGAAACCAATTGAAACCGATAGAAATTAAACTGGACAGTAAATTGAACTGTCATCACTAGTTTTAATAACTTTTTATTAAAGTTATGGATTGAAGTACTTACTCACCGTCCCTCAAAATTTCGTCAATTTTACCATTTTACCTTTTAAGTAAAGAATTTGTGGTTCTAGTTAATTATCTCTCATCTGCACAAATCTCAACTAAACAGTTTGTACTTTATTAATCTTCATACCCGTCAAATTTGGCCAAGTTTCAAAGGATACAAGGGAGAATAAGATTATAGTATCGCTGGACACTAGTACATCCGGAAGCATAATATGAACCCGTACTTTAAGAAAAGTAAAATAACTAAGATTGATCTTTAATTACTTTGGCATAAATTTCAACCGTTAGTGATGAAAAACAACTCTAATTTGTTAAAGGAGCTTTACAAAAGCAACCGACAACTGCAAGAAGTTAAACAGTTCGATGGCATCAAGTCAACATTGGAATTTAGCCAAGGACTTCAATTGGAGATATACTCCACTATTGATGTAATAATTTTATTTACATAGAGATCATATTTGTAACTAACTAGATTTTTCATCGGTGCGTTGAACGGGATGAAGTTCATAAATATTGGCTTCTTTTGAACGTTATAAAAACTTATTGATAATAAGCTTCAGACTTGATACTTTTTTATGATCACATATAACGATAAACAGGAACGGAACTATAGCCAAAGCCAAGGGGGTCATGGCCCCTCCCAACTTTTCATTTTTTAATTAGTAGTGTACGTAGTTAGGTTTTTATTTTTGCCCCCCAACTTGTTATTCTTTATTACTAAGTATTACTTAGTCCGTAAGTGTGCAACTGTGCATCACTACTACGTAGCATCAAGTGGAGTAGTGCATCACTACTTCCTTATTATTTCTTGACTGTATTATCAAGAAAAACAGGTTTGGGATATTATTTTAGAATAGTTGGGTTCTAAATTATTCTTGATTCAATTAAAAATTTAGAATATTATTTTACAAGACTGCAACCTATTATTAGCAGTGTTGGGATATTATCTGCTAATTAAAATTTAATGAAATACGGAGTATTATACAAATTTATTTCAGAGCCTGCATATTTTTGTGGCATGTAAGAGCAACGTTCTAACTCACATCATGTTTAATTAATCATGTGTTTTTGAATGTTTTAAATGAATATCAATACATTATTTAATATTTATTGTATTTTTATTTTATATGTTATTATTTTTTATTTCACCCTGGCCCCTTCTCAACCGCATCCTGGCTCCGCCAATGACGATAAAAATTATAAAATGTTGTACTATGTAAAAGTACATACATCATAATATATATGGAGTATTAACTATTTGCTTGAAGATATTGTGTTAGACGACAAAATGGAAAAGATTCATTCAAACTAAATCCATTGAAAATAATGTTATTGTGTGAATTTACATTTTAAAATTTGTGATTTTCCATAAATAAATACTTCATAATATTTAAAACTGAGCACTTTAAAGTGTAGATTTACATTTTTGAATGGTAAATTATACTACCTCCATTCAAAAATAATTTAACATTTTTAAAATTTTGACAAACTATATATTATAATATAAAATGATATGAAAATTTTATTTGTTAAAAGTACTTTAATTTCATAGAAGTATAAAATTTATAACTTCCATAATATTATACTAATCAAAATCATGGTTCAAATTTTAAGAGATGTCTAAGCATTTTGGGATGTCTAGCTAACCTATTCAACCATCACAATTCACATTATGAAGGTGTGTTCTTAAAGGACCCAAACAATTACTAATAGCAATTGGCAAGCAGGGGTGGAGCTAGACGGGGGAACCTAGGTCCTGACTCATCCAAATTTTAAAAAATGTCTTATTTTTTAAGTTAGTAATTCTTTTTCCAAATATATTCTTTGTAATAACCTAATACACTTAGAGCCCGTTTGGTAACACCAAAATCGGCTGAATTGGCTGATTCTGCTGAAATTTATGAAGTTCTGGCTGAAGTGGCTGTATTGGCTGATTCTGCTGATTCATGAAAAAATTATATTTAAAATATATGTTATTAATTAATTAAATAAAAAATTATATGAAAAAATAGCTAAAATGATCTGATGGAGTATATGGCCCGGGAACCCCCGGCCCACAGATTCCTACTACTCCACCAAAGGCCCAACAGGCCCAACAGGCCCAAATCACAGCGCCCAGAGTACCAAGCAGTCCGCACAACGCACAGGGGTGCCTTCGGCCCCCTGGCCGAAGGCTCCAAATTATCACAGAGCGGGTTTCTCAAGCAAACTAAGAAACTGGGAGAAAACGGCGAAAACAGTAGCCCTCGGCACTGTGAGCCCTCAGCACCAGGGGTGCCATCGGGAGGAAGAGCCCTCGGCTACTGCTCTATGGCCGAAGGCACCTTACTCGACAAGATATCTGCCTCACATGTGTATAGATCACCGTACCCCGCACAGACGTCCCATCCAACAGCCGCATTAAATGCGGCCACATGCGGCTGCCAGCGCCAACCAGTTGAGGTGACCCCTCGGCCAATGAGCGCTTGACACGTGTCCCTGCCCGGCATTTATTGCTACTATAAATAGCACCCCATTTCCCCATTTGTAACCACGCTGAATACAGACCGAATATACACTCTCTCTCTTACTTACTTACTCTGACTTCTCTCTAAGTTACTCCCCGTAGTAACCCTTCGGATATATACCCCCGGGTAGACTATCCATCATTTGGTGCTCTCGTTGAGAGCTGAACAATCGAGTAAGAAACCCTCCCCCTCGACCAAACACAAACACTAGCCCTCTATCAAAATGGTGAGGACAACACGTGCCAACTCAAAGAACGTAGAAGACAAGAACCTGCCCCTCGGCGACGTCAACGCCCCCGAAGCCTCTCACAGGGCTCCCGAGGGCGGTGTCCTCGCTGGGCTGGAACAGGCGGCTGTCGACCTACGCCTTCAGATCCAACAAAACGCCCCTGATGCCCGCCTCGGCATCGAGGCCAAGAAGAAAAACCGGAGCGATGACCAAGTCAGCCCTCCGGTTCTCACCATCGACGTACAATCGGCGCTCTCCGCCTTCATCCAAACGCTCACCCAGAACCCGGGTGCCTTCGGCACCCTGGCTCCAGCTCACCCTCAGATCGGGGAAAATATCATACTTCCCCCTCTGCCACACCCCTTCGGAAATCCCACCCCTCGGGTGAGAAACGACGAAGGGGTGGTGGCCCAAGAAACATCCTCCCAGGAAGTTCAGTCCCGGGACCGCCATAATGACAACAGGGAGAGGCCCCGTACTTCCGCCCTCAACCGGCTCGGAGGAGGGCCAGGCCGCCGAGGGGTCCAAGACCGCCTCGGGGGGAAAGCACTCCAAAGGCCCCAGGAAAGCGGGGGATCTGTTTCGAGGGCAGACGAGGAGCGTCCCCCTCGGGACAAAGGCAAGGCACCCCTTCATGCCGATGATGCTCGGCACCAAATCAACCAGGCCCACTCGGCCCGGGTTCGTTCGCAGGGGGCGGAAACCCTCCCGAGGGACCCCCGGGACGAGATTATTGCGGCCCTCCAGCGCCGGCTTGACGAAATGGAATCCAACAAAGCTCACGCCACCACCTCCACCCCTCACTCAGATCTTAAATACGAGGCCATGATGGCCAAAATGGAGGAGTTACAGAAGAAGGTGGCCGAGGGCTCTGGGGAACCCGTCATCCAGCTCCGGACTCGGACGCCATTTACCCCAAGGGTATTGGCGGCCCGGATCCCGGAGAAGTACCGAGGGCAACACATACAGCCCTACAGCGGGAAAACGGACCCCCAGGAACATTACAGCAAGTACCAGAACAACATGATGATGGTGGGGGCGTCAGACGAATATTTGTGTCGTTGGTTCCTCTCCACCTTAGAGGGACCAGCATACGAATGGTTCAACAGGCTGCCCGAGGGCTGTATTGATTCGTGGCAAGAACTCGCCCAACGATTCTTGACGCAATTCGCCGGGAGGCGTCGCACAAGGAAGCACTTCTCCCACCTCCTAACAATACGCCAGAAGAAGGATGAGACCCTTCGGGATTTC